CCCCACCCCCGCCGTTTCCCACCCAGCGCTGCGAAGCCTCCGGCCGCCCCGCCCCGTCACCGGCCAGTCCCGCCTCCTTGTCCGAGCCATTGGCCTTCCACCGCCCACTTTCCCGCGGCCATTAGCCTGAACGCACGTCCGTCACGGACGCCCCCCCCCCCCGTTTCCCACACAGCGCTGCGGAGTCCGGTCGCCCGCCTCCTCGCCGTCGCCATTGGATGCCCGCCGCCGACTTTCCTGGAACTATTGGTCCGCATGCACCTTCGTCAGGACCACTACCGCCCTTGCCGCTTCCTGCAGAGCATCCCGGAGACATCGGCCACCTAGCCCACTGCCCCGCAGCACCGTCGCTCTCGCCCGCCCCCTCACTGTCACCATTGGCCACTGCCGCCTGACCTCCCAGCGCCATTGGCCTGTCCGTACGTCCGTCATAGCTCCGCGGAGCCTGCCCCACTCGACCCCCCGTGCTCCGCCCCCTTCCCCCCCACCTCACGCTCACCAATCAGAAGCTTGGAACTCCATGCTTGTTTGCATACGCACCCTTTCCTCCCGCCCTCGGGGAGGAGAGTGGTGGTCCCCGGGGTGAAGCGATGTGACAGGGTCCGGGAAAACTAACCGCCTAGCAAGCCGCGGCCGACTGCTTTCGCAGTGTCCCAAGGGGGCGGCGTAGCCCTCGCAGATCGGCCTCCTTTGGGAGCGGCGCTTTCGCGGAGGGGGCGTGTCCTGGGGCGTGGTCGGGAGGGAGCGGCCAATCGGCGCTCGGGAATTTCGGGGGTGGGACTTCCGTTCCCGGCGGGCTGCGGGGCCGGGGGCGACGGCGAGGCCCGGGGAAATCGGTTCCGTGGGACGGCGGCAGGGCTGAAGACTGGGGGGCCAGGCGAGGGGCAGTGCACACGGCGAGGGGCGATGAGGCCAGGGGACAGTGGAGCCAGACGGCAGGCCGGAGGACCGGCCGGGGGACATCGGGGCCGGACGGCAGGGCTGGGAGAAAGCGTGGCCAGGCAGGAGACAGCGGAGGCGGGCCAGCAGAGTCTGGGAACGAGGACGGGGGCCCGGCGGCTCTTATGCCCACCCAGCAGCCTAAGAGCTGTCGCTGGCCCGACCTGGACCCGTCGGGGTCGCCCCGCCCGGTGTCCCGAGTCTCCCACCTCACTGGTGCTCGGCTGCAGAGCCGCGGGGGAAGCAAGCCGCGTGGTCAGCCGTGAGCCCTGGCATTTGCTGCCTTCCTAGCTCCGGGGAAGGGGGCCCTCAGGTCACAACCCATGACTGTGAAAGCTTTAATGTTCTAGAACTTTGGTGGCCGCACCCGCCGGTTACTTTTCAGTCCCTCGAGGTTGTTACCGAGCATAAGCCTTATCCCCAGGTGTTTGGGGCCCTGCGAGTGTGTGTGGGCACCAAGAGGCCCTAGGACTGGGGTGGGGGGCATGGGCCTCCGAGGCTTCCAGAAGAAAATGATTTCGGGGTTCTTTACAGGATAAATGGGTTATTTCCTTTAATGGGTAGGGAAGTATGAGTAGCCAGTGGTCACACAGAAAGATGCACAGTTTTAATCTGTGAAATGTAAATTAAAGCAGAATAACACCCTTTTCCAAGCATCAGGGTGACTACGTCTTTGTGGGCCAGCGTGTGGGGGACCCTTTTGTGGCCTGGCCCAGCCATCATGGGGAGAGGTGGACAGGTAGACTGTGCCACGTCTCGCCTCACCTGGAGACACCCTCAAACAGGCTCCAGTGACCAGTAGAAAGAATCCCATCATTGCAGCACGTGACTGACGGTGAAAGGCTGGAAACCGCGGAAAGTCCGCTGAAGGGGAGCTGTGAGACATCTGTGGTCCCTGCAGCCACCGCAGGGGCGAGGTAAGAGGCGGGAAGTTCCCCGAAGGTCTGCTGGTAGGAGAAAAAAAGAACAGCAGTGTAGCACGTCCAGTGTAATGCCAGTGTTTCTGTTTGAAGGAAGCACGTAGACCAATGTGATGTGTAATAGGAAAAGGCGTGGAAGGTGCTCCCCGGGGTGACAGTGGCATTACTCGGGCTGGGGCGTCAAGAGTGGCTGTCTCTTCACTGACAGCATTTTTTTGGAGAACATATTCACATGACATGTAATTGAAAATAACTCGAAAAATTAACTACGAAACTGCTCTATGACTTTTAATTCACTGCAAGGTGTCCCACCAAGAGAAATGAGAACGTATGTCACACAGACACCTGTGCGTGACTGTTCACAACAGCCAAGGAGTGGAGACAGCCCAGGTTTTCATCAGCACATGACGGCTAAACACCATGTGATCTGTGCACAGAACAGGTTGTCGCTCAGCACAAGGAAGAGTGAAGTCCTGACGCACTGACACGGGTGGAGCCTTGAGACCGCGGTGCTGAAAGAAGCCACACACTGAAAGGCAAATATTAGGGTTCCATTTTTATGAAATATCTAGAATTTGCAAATGCCTAGAGATATAAAGTAAACTAGAGGTTACTAGGGTCTAGGGGACGGGAGAATGGGGAGTTATTCTTCATGGGTAGCATTTCTGTTTGGGGTGATGACAAGTTTTGAAAATAAATAGTGAAGGTTGTACAATGTGAATATAATGCCACTGAATTGTACACTTATGATTAAAACGTTAGATTTTTTGTCACATATATTTTACCACAATTAAAAAAAGTCAACAACAAAAAATACACAGGAGAGAGCCTGGCAGGGCGGGGATTGTGGGCTCAGAGTTGGCCTGCTTTGTGGCTTGGATGAGTCACCTAACCTTTCTGGCCATCTGATTGGGTAGAGTGGGTGGCGCCATCCTGTGCAGCTCTGAAAGGGCGGCCTGGGGACCAGGCAGGTGGTCTGCAGGTCCAACCTCGGAGAATTCCAGCACAAAGGCTCTGCCCTGGTCAGTGCATCAGCACCCTGAGGGGGACGAGGGGTCCCGCAGATGAACGCCAATCGTGGGCAGGGGCTGTGTGGGTCCAGGGATGGCAGGGCAGTGAGGTCTGGAGAGAGGTGGGAGGCACCACCTGGCGTCTTGGTGACTGGGAGTGGCCAGGTGACCAATGTCTCCTTGGCCAGCTCAGGTGTCAGGAGAGGTGCGGACCTCAAGAGCAGGTGGGCAGATAGCCCAGCGTCCAGCACAGAGGCGGTATGTCCAACAGTACAGCATCATGGGCCTCTTATACTGACTTCTCAGCCCCAAGCCCTCCCCCACATAGTGGGGATAGCAGGCCTGGGGGAAGGAAGCTGCCCCAGGGCCCTGGAGGCCGCAGGACGGCCAGGAAGGTGGGGTAGGTTAGTTTGGTCAGGGAATGTGCCTGTCCTACTCGGAGCCTACATGTTCTGTGTGATGAAATATTCACCAGAGCCAGGAGCGGCTCACGTGCGTTCTCAGGGAGGCCTCCCTCCTGCCTTGGAGCCCCCTGTACCAGGCAAGCCCTCTGTAATGGTAAAGGTTGTGCGTCAGATTGGCTGGGCCAGGATTACTCGGTGGTTTGGCGGTTATGATGTGGTTTGGCAGTCGTACAATGCAGTCACCTCCATGACGAGATCTAATGTAATGTCCATGATGGGATCTGCTATGAGCAGCCAGTCAGTTGAAAGGGCATTCCTTTGGGGGTATGGCATACATCCAAAACGTGGACTTTTTGGCAAAGCTTGCTGGCTTTTGCTCTGCTCTGGATCCTACCTTTGGCTCGTCAACCTCTGACCTCCAGTTCTTGAGACTTGAGCCAGCAGCCTGCTGTCTGAACTGCCGATCTCGGGTTTGCCAGCCCCTGCAGCTACATGAGTCAGGAGAAGCCTCCAGGCTGACCCACAGACTTGGGACTTTCTAGCCTCTACAACCACATGAGCCATTTCTTGATAGAAATGTTTGTCTCTCTATATGCATGCTTTGCTGATTTTGCTTCACTAGAGAACCTGGCCTAAGACACTCTCTGAGGCCTCAGAGCATGGCAGGCCTGGGCCCAAGTCCATCGGCCCGCCCCAGGGGCATCTTCAGGGCTAGCAGTGGGGCCAGGGCCAGCTTGTCCACCCATCATAACGGGGTCTGTGTCTTCCAACCCCTACCCTGGGCCAAGATCTGCTGCCCACAGCCGAGGGGAGAGACACAGCCAGATGGCTCCAAAACAGAAGGCTTTATTGTCACAGGGGTCACCTGCCCTGCCCCATCCACGTGCTCGCTGTCACTGTGCTGCCAAGCACGGTGGTGGAGCTGGGCCAAGCGCTGCCTCCTTCCTGTTCACAGCAGACACAGCCTCTACTCAAAGGTGAGAGAACACAGTTGGTTCCACTTGGCACAGTCACACCCTCCCCACACACAGTCCCGGTTCTGCTGCCCCACCAGAGTCCCAGGACCATGTCCTCAGGGGTCCCACCACCATGTGGGGGACTCCTACTTCTGCGTGACAGCAGTTAGGGGAGAAAGGGCCTGGCCTGCAGGGTGAAGGCTGGGCCTGGAGCAGAGACACATCAATGGCCTGTCAGCTCTTTCTGCAAACACCCTCTCCAGGAAGCGTCAGGGAAAACGCCCAAGCCATGAGCCTTATGGGTCGGCCACGGCGCTGGTTTGGGCGGGGGGCCAGATGCTGCTCCGATGCCCCAGTGGGCTGGTCTCCCCACGATGAAGCACTGGGAGGCAACGCAAAGGCGGAGCTGTGGTTGTAAGGAGTGCGCCCCAGGGGGACCCCCTCCATCCCCGTGACAGGCCAGCCAAGTGACAGGCCAGCACACCCACGGAGTGGGCCCAGATCCCTGTGGGAGAGAGGACCGGTGCTGGATGTGGAGTGGCTGTGGGTAGCAGGGGGGTGCTCCCAGGGCAAGCTCTGGGGTCTGGGGGCGTCAGCTGACAGCATGATGAGCAGACAGGACCAGGAGGCAGGTCCCAAGGCAAACAGTGCTAGTGACAGTGCCTGGCCAGGCAGGCGCGCCCTGCCTGTGACCTCAAGGCCTTGGGAGTCAGGGAGGAGCACGGGCCCCCCACACCTGAGAGCACATGGGCATCTCCCACCCGACACCTGGGGGGCATTCACTGCCCAACAGTCCATGCCACCCGGGGTAGAGCAGAGACTGCCGTGGCCAGGAGGCACTGCTGAGTGGTGGCTGGGCCCTCAGTCTTGCTTGCCCCCCTTCTGCCTCCAGGGGTAGATGAGCTCCCCAAAGAAGAGCTTGCGGCACAACGAGCTCCAGGAGAGCTTGGGGCGGCAGCCACAGCTGGGGAGGCGATAGGCGCGCACGACACGGCTGTACGGCAGTGGGTTTATCTGCAGAGGCGAGGGTGTGCTCAGACAGTGGCGGCAGAGAAGGGCCGGGGGCTCCCTGGGGAGGAGGTGCCTGGGCTGGATGGCTGTGGGAGGGCCAGCTGTGTCCCAGATGTGGCTCTGTATACAAGCTTGGGAGGGCCCAGGGGAGGGGGCTCACTGAGCGGCCAGTGCTCTCTGCCACTTCTGGGCCAGCTGGAGGTGGTGAGGAGGGGACCAGGCTGGGCCGTGAGGGCCGGGACTCATGGCCCCAGCCTTGCGCAGGGCCTGGAGATGCATCCCAGCAGGGACCCTCACTGCCTCTGCTCCAACCTCTCTCAGATGCTTTTGGCACATTGAGGCCACCAAAAGATGGGCTAGGCCATGATGGCGCTGGGCATGATCACCAGGCCAGCCCTGCCTGCCTGGACCTGTTCCCTGGCACTGAAGGTTACCCCAAACTCCCAGTACAGGAGCTGGTCAGGCCAGGTGGCCAAGTGCAGGGCCACAGGGCACACCTGAGCTGCCAGGGCATTGGCCAGGTCTACAGGAATGCCAGCACAGCGCCAGAGCCCCTGGCTGCCTGGGGGCATCTGACTTAGTGCAAAAGGATCATGCTATGGGCTGGGGCCCCAACAGTGCAGCCCCAGTGGGGGGCTCTGAGCCCTGCTGGGGAGCTCCAGGCAGAGGGGTGCTATGATGCTCAGAGACCTCAGGGGTGAGGGGTCCCCCACGGGCCCTATCCTCAGCTCCCCCAGCCCTTCCACCTGCAGCTGGCCCCAGATGGCACACCCCACAGCCCCGCACCAGGCAGCACAGAGGGGGGACGCCATGGCAGCTGGTGTCCCGGCCACAGGAAGTGGGAGAGTGGGGCAGTACCTGCATCAGGAGGCGGAGAGGCTTGCCAGCTTCATGCTCCAAGACCCGGAACTTCACGCCGGCTGAAACGAGAGCAAGGGACCGTGAGGGGAGCAGCACTGCCCCAAGCCCTGGGAGCCCCTTGCTGCACAGAACCCCCGAAGCGTCAGCCTGGCTGGCAGGGCAGGGTCTTGGGGCAGCGCACATGGTAGGCTCCCAGCCCAACATTCCCGAGCGGGAAGGCTCTTGGAGACAGAAGTGCTGGGACAGTTGTCAACTGATGCAGAGGCCTGAGGCAGGCTCATCCAGGAGGGTCGGCTCTCCCGTGGCCTTTCACGTGAGGTCTCTGCACCCCCGCCCCCCTAGCCCTGGCAGCACGGCACCCACCGGCAAGTCTGTAGGGCCGGCAGAGCCGCAGGCCGACCGAGTATAGTGGCAGGGAGTTGATGAGGTCCACGAGCAGGTGGAGAAGGCCCTGCACGGCCACCACCAGGAGCCGGAGCTGCAGCAGAGAACAGCGCTCAGGGCCTGCGAGGCTGACGGTGCCCAACCCACTCTGCTTGGTGAGGGTGACGGCCCAGCCGAGGCTCCAACGTGGCAGTGGTTCATGAGGTCGGGCAATGGCATGTCCATCCCTGGAGTGCCGCCCACCTCCCACTGTCCCCCGCCCCCGCCTGCACCCAGCACATCCTAGAGCAGGACCCGGGACTGACCAGCGTGAACACCAGGTAGTACAGGGCTGTGGTGGGCAGGAGGAAGACCAGGATGGTGAAGAGCAGGGTCCCGATGAAAAGCTGTGGGGAAGGGCCCAGCCGTGAGCACTGGGGAACTCCCCCCTACAGGGCTCAGGCTCCTGAGAAAGCTCAGGGGCACAGCCACGCACGGTGAGCGTCCCAGGATGTGCAGGGCCACATTCTGTGTGTGGAGACCCGGGGTCAGGGGATGGGGGGGTGGGCTGGGAACAGTCACGCACTGAGGACAGGCCTCCGTCCACGGGAGGACAATGTGCCCTGAGGAGCAGCACCAGGTCACTGTCGGGCTGAGCAAGCACGTGGGCTGGCCTGCACCTGGGGTTACCTACGGATGCCACCTCCATCCCTGTGGCAGGCAGGCGGCCGCAGGATGGAGCCACAGGTGCCTCATGAAGCCCCGGGCAACGACACTGGCCAAGTGGACACTGAGTACCTGAGCTTGAGGCGGTCACCCCCATGGCCACACAGGCCAGTCAGCCACAGGGGGCCCACATCCACGTGGGCACCAGTACCTGGTCCAAGTCGTAGGAGCAGGAGTCCACACGCTGCCGCAGCACGTTCCACTTCTTGCCCCGGAACAGGCGCCAGAGTGAGGACAGGCCGTACATCTTCAGACAGTACAGCCTGCGGGCAGGTGCGGGCGGGCAGGGGGCGGGCGG